GAGGTGCGACGTGTCTATATTTGAAGTTGTGTCTGACACCGCCTGTTCTTAGGCCGAGCTCGATCCAGCAGCCCCGCTGAAATTAATGACCTCAACAAGCTGCCAGAAAAGCAGCTCACACAGTAATTTTAATCAGCGCACACACATACACGTATTATTTACAAGCATTATGGGCCTGTAATCACATTGTAGCTCGCACCCAAGACTAGTAAATACCCAGACATTATGTGGTGTATGTCTGCCCACAATGGCACGTGTAAAAAAACACGTCTGCTGCCTGGCTGAAAAAAACGTCCTGTTTAACATTCTTTAGGTGGCAAAGTATGTGATTTTATGTTTATGATTTTTTTAAAGCCTTTAAATCGTGCATGTTTTATTGGGTTTACAGAGGTGGGGTGGGAAATCGTGACTGTTACACCGACCAAAAACAAGAGCAGTGATTTTATAAGAAAAGAAGGTGCAAGTGCATGACAAAATTTACAAGATTTTAATTTTAGCGCAGCAACTAAAATCTCAATAGAGCATTGTTTCTGTCTCAGTCTGTTATGTAAACTTTCTATGGGAACAACAGTCGACAGGAAGTAGAGAATTCGCTCTCATGGTGTGTTACTTGAGTTACATACTTGCAGTTTTGAGTGGAATGAAGAAAAAATATTGTTTGTTCTTGGCATGAGTCACGAATAATGACTTCTCCTGCTGTCCTGAAAAGCATTGCATGTGGTTACAACTGCAAGGGGGATTAAAACCAAACCAAAGACATACATGTTTAACTGCACTCCATATTTATGGAAAGCCCTACCTAGTACTTATTTAATTTGTCTTTTGATTTATGTCATTTTTACTATCTTACTCACTTTTGTTTTTTGTTGTTGGGTGTGTATATAAATATTTTTAAACAAATTCCCCTGTTTTTAATTATTTTTACTGTCTTTTCATTGTCTAATTTTATTGTCTATTTTCCCTTGCTTAAAAATGTTGCATTCTTATTTTTATTGTAAAGCACTTTGCGCTACATCTCTTGTATGAAAAGTGCTCATAAACAACATATTATTTTTATTATAATTATTATGTTAAAGCATAATCGCTAAATTATTTGACTAAGGGCTCATACACATGCTTCATTTTTTGTGCCCTCAAATCCATTGTTTTCAATGTTAGTGCACATCACAGGTGTGATGGCTGCGCCCTGAGAAAAATAAAGTTCAACTTTTGGAAAGCAGCAACATGCATTGTGTGTCATGTGATGAGAAACAACCAATCATAGCAATCAGAGCTGGCAAATATCTTTACTTTGTTCCATAATATCAGTCTGACATAAATATGGAAAACAAGTTGATTATTTTAAAGCAGGTGAACCCAGAGTTTTATAACTGTCCCACAGACAACATTTTAGGCCTAATTCCAAGCGGCAACCTCTGAGACTGACAAACGAAGCCAATGCGGAAGTGCCAAAAACTGCAGTTCATCAAATGGCCACTTGAGTCTGGCTCCAATGCCTGACTTTACAGCAGAAATAAACATGTTTACAGCCTGGCACAAAATATGGTTTTGGCTAATTTCAACATTCATGACAACCGTACAGGTGGTGAATTTTTTATATAATAACTAAAATGTTTACATTTTTTTTAAGGCCCAAAGTTACGCATATTTAAGAGTGGGGTCACTTGAGTGACAGGCTGTCTATGTCGCCACAGTCTATGAGTCAGTTCCGACCCTCGAACTTCCACAATTCCAATGTTTTATCCAAATATGGTCACTTCTAGCTCCAAAAAAAATCAAGAAAACAACAGCCGAAAATGTCAATCTAGAGGCTACAAAATGGCAGTCCACAAACCAATGGGTCACTGTGGCTACGTCCATTATTTATATGGTCTATGCCTACTATGCAGGCATAGTAAGTAAAAAGCAACACCGGAAAGAAGATCAGATCAAACTTTGGATTCCTTGGGTCTCATTCATAGACATTGCTTTCGCACAAAAAGAGGCCTGAAAGAGGCGTACGCCACTCCCCATGCTAAAGTTGTTAAGTATAAAGACAGACTTGATTGGAGAAACTTTGACCCATGCTTACGAACATTTTGGAGATGAGAAATTAGGGACGCAGATGATGAGGTGGAGCCTGATTGTAGAACTTGTAAAGTTTTTTTGGGGCACACACCATTTTTTGGCTTTTGTCTATACGTACAAGTTTAGTATGGATCCTAAGCATTGTTTTATAAGTGAGACCCCTGGTAGGTAGGCTATGATACAGTGCTGTTGTGGTCGCATAGCAACTTCAGACTCAACCTGCCTCCACGCCCTTGAAAGCTGGCACAGAGTAGGCACAATAGTAGAACCCAGTGCCTAACCAAATGTTATCAAGGCAGTTAAAAATGCTGTATGTCCTGGCCCTAGAACACATCATAACAAATGAATACTTGACCCTCTGGGTCACAAAATGTGTTTAAGTGTTGTTGCTTTTTCAAAATAACCATTTGCAGGAACCATTACATCTCCTACAGTTGTCTGTCTTTTTATGATCTCAATAAACACCAGCCCTCTGTAACAGCTATATATTCCAGGGAGACCACCTTATATGGCTGGGCTGTCAGACCATCTCGCCAGATTCTCACACATCTACATAAACCATTCAACACCTAAAGAACATTGCTCACTCCATTAAAAGAGGTTTCCAATTAAAGCTGATAACACTGTGAATGGCGGGGTAAATGGATGGGAATCTCTTCAATCCTCTGTCAACGTAATGAGAATTCCTATGCTGTTTATATCGCTGATCCCATGGCCAATGCTGGAGTGTGTATGTGTGTGTGTGTGTGTGGAGGAGAGACATGCAGGGAGACAGAGGGAGCGAGGGATGAGTGGATGAAGTGGATCATTTCTTGTATGTTTACATTTCAGTATGGATTTGCCTTTGCTCATGCACATGACACTCTTACTATAAAGTCATTTGCTTCTGCGTTATGAGCTTAATTGTTTTCTTGATCACACATGGACACCACTGTTGTTATGCAGAGTCATACATACAGCAACAGGTGTCTTAAAAGAGAAGAACGTAATTTGGTTCTACCCACTTAAGAAGAGAGCGTGTCGCTTCTGTAGACCAAAATAAATGGGACACTAGAGACCTAACAAGGATGTACAGCTGCAGATCTGAATGTCTGACACCAAACAAGAAATCCACTGGAGAACTGGGTCTAAAACAAATAATGGATTCAGCCCTTTTCTTTGGAATTGTCAGCTAGCTAGGTAGCTGTTTGCTACCAGACAATGGGTGCAGTTACATGATGGCTTCTCATTCAGAATGAAATAAATCTGAATGAAATCATTCGGAATTAAAGTCTTTCCAGGTTGTTTACATGAGAAATATTCATTCTGAATGAGGGTTTACACGGGAGCTTTTATTCAGGGCAGGGAAGGTTTCTGATTGGATAGGGGGCGGGGCGGATGTTACGTGTTTACGTTTAATGGAAGAAAACACTGTAGTCCTATTCACTCCGGATAACAAGATGCTTGACGACGCCGTTCTTAGTGCCTTTTTCGGGCTTGTCTTGCTTATTTTCTTGAAGCAACAGTACGACAATAACCTTGTTCTGCTAATGCTTCGTCTGTTGAGGAGGAGAAGGGAGGTAGAAGGTCGAAGAAGGGAGATGAAGACCGTGCTGTGGCGAATGGAAACCGTTGAGTTCAACAAGTCCGACTGCTCTATCTCAGCCCGTTGCTATGCGCGCTATATACGTCATCGTGGCAGAAGGGCAAGGAAACGAGCATGCGCAGAAAGACCAGAATGAACTTAAAGAGGAATGAGCGTTTACATGCACACAAAGTTCTTTCAAATGACAAATGGAATAAACCACCCCCTTTAATCGGATTTAATTTTCAATCGGAATGACCATTTTTAATCAGAATGGCCTTTCATTCCGAATGAAAGTGGAATTAAACTGTCCTTGTAAACTTACTGAGTGTTACTTGTAGGTTCCACATCTATGTGACGATGAGGGTTTCTCATATAAAACTTTATCTGAGTATTCCATCAGACTGCAACACATGATGGCTTTCCTGGTTATTGTCACAGCATTCCCATTATGTGAGGCTCTACAGCCGACAATGTGTCACAATGTCAGCTACGTGATGAAATTCCTCCGATGCTGGCTGTGCGGACTAACGTTAGAGCCAAACTTGAGTCACTGTGAAAGAGGCAACAATATTCCCGGTCAGATCACAAGCATTTCTGAGAGACCGGGGATGGACATGGGTGGATAGAGCTTCAACAAATTAAGTGGAACGCTTTGGTGTCCTGTTAAATGTGGTTGAGATGCCTTTTGATTCTAATAGGAATGCATTTATAGCGATACAACAAATTCAACAGGAAAAAAAGTAAAGGACTATTTAGATCCAATATTTGTCAAACCCCAAACTCTTGCCCCCACACACACAAACACACTCTGCACCCAAACACTTACAGTATTTCCATTCTCCAGCCAGGTGATTGTGGGGATTGGATTTCCTGTGGCGTTACACTCCAGGGAAATCTGGCTCCCGTATGCTACTCTCTTCTCTTTAGGAACCCGCAGGATTCGTGCCGGAGCTTAACGCACACACGAACGACACACAGTGCAGACACATGAACTCACATATGCAACCAAACAATTATATTCCACTGGTTTAGATTACAGGTTTTTAAAGTACGTATGTACATTATGTACCAACCACTGAAAGGGAAACCACTTTAAAATACATACCCTGTACCTCTATGGTGACAGGCTTTGAAAAGGCCAAACCAAAGCTATTCCTGGCCACACAGCGATACTGTCCTGCGTCTTCCTTCTGTATGTTGTGGATCTTCAATGCACCATAGTCAAGAATGGTGACGCGGTCACTGATCTGGGAGAGAAGAGACGATTTGTCAGACATATACCACATCTTGTCCTTGTTTTGGAAAAAATAGGACACTTGAAACCAAGCCAAATAAGAGGGCATTCCAGCTTCCACTTTTCGTTTAGCTGGAAAACATCCACAAACGTCCTGTTATGTGTGAGTGTGTTGAAGAAAAATAATAGTGCATACCTTGATGAGTTCGTCATCTTTGAGCCAGGTGACTTCCGGTTTGGGGTTGCCGAGGGTAACACAGGGCAACACTGCTTTAGATTCCACCAGAAGGGTTACATTAGTCGGATGGCGTTTGATCTGCGGCTCTGATGGAGAGACAGACAAGAGAGACAAGATTAGCCTTTTGTCTCAATGCTGCTGTGAGTGTGTCATTCATCATGGATTTATACCATCTGAAAATTCTTTAAAACACATGGGGTCGAGATCAAGATTGATTCTCCAGCCATAGGATTTGGGAGAAGGCAGACGTACTCATCTTTAGCTGCAAAGCCCCACAGCTTTTGGCCGCCTCTCCGATGCCGTTACTGGCGAGGCAGCAGTACTCTCCGTTGTCTGACTCTCTTACGTGAGGGATGGTTAGCATCTGTCCCTGCTCCCTGGTTATGTATCGGGGGTCGTAGTACCTTGTGGGACAAAAGGGAACTGTGGTAAGATTTGAGATTAGTCGCTGAATGCTGTAGTTGAAAGAGGTTGAGGTGTAAACTTACATTATTGGGTGGTTATTCTTGGTCCAGGTGATCTCAGCGGGGGGACGGGACTCAACCTCACAGATGAAGGTTGCATTGTGATCCAGCAGTATATCCACTGTCTCTAATAAGGTGATGATACGAGGAGCTGGACATACAAGGACAAAGACGAAGACTTTCATTAGAAAACAATAAATCCATTTGAGTATTTGGAAAAAAAGGACATGGAATACACTACCCAGACCATTTTCTAAGTAACTCTACGGTCAGGCCACAGAACATTGATACTTGACTTTTTGGTTTTCTGTAAACTACAGTACACAGTCATCACACTTGGCTACATGTGCCGTAGAGCTGAATTACAGCTGCATCTTTTCAGCCAAAGTATTTGACATTCTTGGCATTCCTATTTAAGATTGAGTCATCGGATTCAGTCAGAAAGTTTCCTGCAACGGCTGTTGATTAATGGGACCAGATCAGAGGTTTTGAGGTTTGTTACAGCGTTGACCTAAGTAGAGAAGAAGAGGGGTGACCTTGAGGGGAAGAGAAGTGTTTAATAGGTAAATTACATGTCAAGCATTTGGGAATTTCCAGCTTTATATAAGGAGAAAGAAGAGGATTACAGAGAAGAGTGACAGATGAGGAATGACTTCAAGTTGAACTCTGAAGTTTTTAAGTTTGTTATAGCTTTACTTTTGTATTCCAGGGGAAGTTGAAACAAGGACAACATTTTAATTTTTGGTTCAAGGATAGGCTCTATCCCCAGCGTGCACACTGCTCTCCACTATCTCGTTTCCACAGATGGTCTTTGTTAAAATAAAAATGGGTAAATTACCAGTTCTGTGTACACTGAGCATGCAAGTTATTGGAACCACTTGTTCTTTTCCGTGATATAAACCAGGTGAAGATCAAAATTTATTTCATCCATGTAGTTTTCTTCAATCACAAAAGGGAGTTGTAGGCAAAAGGATTATTTTTAGACATGCGATACAAGGGTAAAAGGGAAAGCAACTAAATATTAGGTGGTCTGACATTTATATATTTTAAGCTCTACATGAATATATTGAGGAGGAGAAAATGAGAGGGGGAGTAAAAACAAAGAAAGGACATGTTCAAAGGGGAAAGGGATGGAAGTGGATAGTGCTAGCGTGGGGGTAAGGCAGCCACTGTTTATATGTGGATTTAGATCAGAGACATCAGAGTTGCTTTAAACTTTGTATGAACTAAAGAGAGGAAGAAGGAAAATAGAAAACAGGGGAGAGAAGAAGGAAAGATCAGAGGAGGGGAAAGGAATGAGGCAGAAAGTGAAGAAGAAAAAGCAAGGAGAGTAAAGGAAAGGATCAGGGTTAAGAGATATTATGCATGTTTGGCTCTTGTGAAATTAAGATTTCACAATAACATAGCTGGATAAAACACCCACGTCCCCACCCCCACCCTTGGGTCACTGCTGCTGTTTGACCCGTGGGCGGGTGGTAGAAATAAAACTACTATAAATCAAACTGAGCCCCTGTCACACAGTTAAACTTGGTTTTAAACATTGAAATACGATTTTAGTCAAGGTCAAGTAAGATGAAATATCTCACCAGTAGCTTGGTTCAGTCATTTTCTATGCAGTCTAAAATCATATTTTTAGCTTTGCAAGCAGCATGAATCTAAGGATGGCACCTATGTTCTGTCAGTCAGTCGGTCACTTTACTGAAATATCTTAACAAGTATTGGATGGATTGCAGTGCAGTTTTGTACAGACATTGGTGGTCCTCAGAGGATGAATCCCAATTATGTTTGTCATCCCCTGATTTTTCCTCTAGTGCTAAAACAAGCACTAGACAAAACTATTGGATGGATTGCAATTAAATTTTGTACAGACATTTAATTTAATGCATTTAATACATTTTAATGAAATGTATTGAGAACTTTCAGGTGGATTGTTATAAAATTTGGTAGATGGTGTGCGTGGTCCCCAGAGGATGAACTCCAATGATGTTTGTGATCCCCTGACTTTTCCTCTGGCACTAAACACCGTTCAAATTTCTAGGATTTTTTTTGTGTGAAATGTCTCAATAACTATTGGATGGATTGCAATGAAATTTTGTGCAGACATCTGTGGTCCCCAGCGGATGAATCCCAGTTATGTTTGTTATCCCCTGATTTTTCCTCTAGCACTAAAACAAGGTTCACATTTGTTGGGCTTTTGTATGAAATGTCTTAACAACTATTGGATGGATTGCAAACAAACTTTGTAAAGACATTCGTAGTCTCCGAAGAATGAATCCCAATGACTTTTGTTATCCCCTGACTTTTCCTCTAGCGCTAAAACAAGGTTCACATTTGTAGGGTTTTTGTGTGAAATGTCTCAACAAATATTGTATGGATTGCGATTAAATTTCGTACAGACAATTGTGGTCCTCAGAGGATGAGCTCCAGTGATGTTTGTTATCCCCTGACTTTTTCTCGAGCGCTAAAACAAGGTTCACCTTTGTAGGGATGTTTTTTGTGAAATGTTTTAGCAACTATTGGATGGATTGCAATGAAAATTTGAACAGACATCTGTGGTCCCCAGAGGATGAATCCAAATTACATTTTTGATCCCCTGACTTTCTTCTGGCGCTAAAATGAGGTTCACATTTGTAGGTTTTTTGTGTAATATCTCAACAACTGTTAGATGGATTGTAATTACATTTTGAATAGATATTTGGGGTCCTCAGAGGATGAATTCCAATGACTTAAGTGATCTCCTGACTGTAGTGCCACCAGCAGATTGGGATTTTTGGCTTTAAGTAAAATGTATTGACTATCAGGTGGATTGTTATAATATTTGGTAGAGATGCATGGTTTCCAGAGGATGAATCCCAATGATTTTTCCTCTACCATGAAGTTTACATTTGTAGGTTGTTTTTTGTGAGATATCTCAGCAACTATTGGATGGATTGCAATGACATTTTAAATGGGTATTTCCCAAGAAGATGAATCTTGGTGATTTTGGTGATCCCTTGACTTTAATGCTACAAGCAGGTTCACATTTTGGGCTTTTAGTGCATTGTCTTATGAACTACCATATGGATTTCTATGAAATATAGTAGCTATGCATGGTTTCTAGAGGATGAATGCCAGTGACTTTGGTGATCCCCTGACCTTTCTTCTAGTGCCACCAAAAGGTTCACATATGAAGATATGTTGTAAAATGTCTCAACAACTATTGGATGGATTTCCATTTATGTCATCCTCAGGATGAATTCTCATAACTTTGATGATTCTTTAAATGTTCATGTAGAGCATCATCAGCAAGACAACAATAAAATTCCCATTAGCCTCAGCTGTACTTTGTTTTAATGCTAATTAGCTACTTGGCATACAAACATGCTAAACTAAAATTAAATTGGCCTGTTTTTGATTGGGTCTGTTGTTGAATGTGTCATTTCCCTCACACCATGTTACTTTTACTGTTGCCAATATTATGTCTGAACAGATGGACAACATCTGAAGGGTGAAGGTCTCATTGTGGCTCATGTTTAGCCACATGACTCATTATTTAGAGCAAACGAGAGCCTCACCGGATTTGACCTTTTGAGAGGTTCTTGTTATGAAATGCTGTTTGGACACCAGCAGTGATACAGTGTTGTTCAGGCCCTCAGAGGAGGCCAGTTAGAGTGGTCACAACTGGCCTCTACTGTATGGATTGCAGAAGCCTACTTGATCCAAACCAAATGCCTCTCATTATCACTTGCTTTCCTATGTTTTACTTTATGTGTGTGTCCATTAGAACTGTTTAAAACTGTTGCTAGTTTTCTTAATGTACATGAAGGTCTGAAAATGAATGTCCTTGTAAAATTCTCAAATATTATCTGGCCAGTCTCACCACAAAAGCAGCCATATATGTTGACTGTGCAAACAGCTTATTTGAAAACAAACTTAAGTTTAATGTATGGCAGTGGCCTCTAGTGGCCATAGTAAGTATTACAGAAGCAGGGGAGAAAGTGAGGTAGGGTAGTAGTACAAAGCAACAAAGTCTGTGTGATGCTCTATACAGATGAAGGAAGTATTTGTAGGCTGGACAGGAGGGGAGGTGGATGGCCCAAACAAGGAATTGACTTTCACTCAGGACACCGATATTTACGACCTAAATTAACGTAACTTTGTCAAATAACTATGTAGCATAGTATGCTGGCATGTGTATGATAATGAGGTATTTCACACTTTCGGTGATGGACTTTGCATGTCCAGATACAACTCACAAGGTACCCTGGGTGCGTTGGTTGGTGACTTCCTGGGACACTGTGCCAAGTTCTGCCTCTTACATACATTGTGTTTTTCAGAATACACTTCCGTTTTCAGAGGAAATGTAGCGTTTGAATCCATCCATCCATTTTCGTAACAGCTTATCCTCTTAAAGGGTGCATACAGTCCTTTTTAAAATAAATGCACTATGTTGATACAAAGCGAATTGACGTCTTTTTTTCCTTTAACAACAAACGCATATGGTTACGGTTGGCCAACACACGCACGTGATTGGGTTTAGAAAAGAAGAGCAAGGATGGGCTTTACAGTCTTACGGGAGGCAAACATTGGCCTTCCTGGTGAAAGTCGGTGGTTGTTGGACCCATCCACCACCCCTCCCACCCAACCTACCTGCCCGTCCACTGCCTTAGCTTTCCTTCTTGTCCTGCTGCGTTTTCCCCCTTACACCACCTGTGTATCATGCCGACATGAAAGGACAGCTTTTGTCATTGGTGTCCGGAGGTCACTGCCCAAGCGCTGGAATTCAACAACTTCAGAGTGAGACGGGGTTGCAAATGTGACATGACATACGTGACATTATGTTTGTAACAAAAGTACTATTTTAAAGCCAAACCATAATGTGCTTTCTAAACCTAACCACCTAGTTTTGTTGTCTAAACCTCATCACACAACGATGGTTTGAATTAAGTCTGACGTAGCGCACCTCTCTCCATGGTGATATCCACACTCCGGGTTGGGAAGGCGGTAATGCATTTACAAGCTGGTTGCCAACCGCCAGAAAACGTAGAAGAAGAAGAATGCGAGACTTGTTTTGTTTCTGGTTCTGCGGAAACTCATGCGAGTTTGTAGTTTTCACCAAAGTCCGTACATTTAATGGAAACACACAGGATTCGTATTTCTTTTAATGCGCAT